GCGCTTGCTGTATCGCACTGGCCCGCTTACGAAAGCATTGACCATACGGCTCTGTCGCGCCGGCGGTGTGACATTATCAACTCGCCTCAGGGATCCTTGATATACGACCAGCCTACCCTTATCCCAACATGTTTACTCAATTTGATCTTTTCGAGATCGTGCCCTTTCCGTCGTTGTGAATCGTGAACGTATGCTCGCTGGCCGCCGCTGGAGTGACGGACCGCCGTGATGCTGTGCCGCAGCGCCCTCTAGCCTTGCGGGACAGCCTACCTTCAAGGCACTCTACGAAACGGCCATAGGGCTGCGTTATAAACGTTCGCTGATGCGACCCGGAAGCTGTTTGGTTTTGTTTTCTTTAGGTTCCGCCTGTATTTATATTTTACGAAAAGGAAGGTGCTTTTTCATTATCAGTCCCGTCATGACAAGGTAACTAAGTGCAGATCTGTTCATCATATAAAAAGACAATTTTCACGAACGTAGTCTTCCGTCTTCAATGCGTTCAAAGTTACCTACTGAAGACTGAAATGATTATGAACGGCTCATGTTTGGTATTAGCATCTGGCATCTGTGCGCCTGGTGTCTGCAGCGCTGGCGGTTGCAAATGCAGGCTGCAAACACACACTCCGGCGAGCTGATCGCTGATGCCATGGCGATGTGATGTCTGAGATACCTACGGATCGGTAGTCTGCAGCACTCTGCACAGTGCACGGGCACGCCCTCCAGACTCTAAACAAATGGCAGGTCGCAACATCGCCAGACCATGATGTAAGGAGCAGGGTCCGAACGGAAACTAGAGCTCTGCCAAACATACCAATAGGCAAGACGGTTCTGTTTGGTTGGCGCCAACCCGGCCGAGTAGGGTTAAAGTAATTTTTTACATGGCTTCTGACGCTTGTTGCGTTAACTCGTAACTTTTTAGCGATGGAGAGCTGAAAGTTGGCATGCCTGACCTTTGGTTCAAGCCTGATCTTGCGACACCAATTGCATTTTCAGGTCAGGTCAGGTCATTGACCTTTGACGTCATAAGTAAACCCATGCCTGGCCCAAAAATGTCGCAACTTTGCAACGCTCTCAGTCTCAGGGAATCTTTCACAATGAAGTGAAACTTACAGGACGTAGCAAACTCTCCAGTACCCACAAACACATTTTGTCTATATCTGATTTTTCCTTAAGGTCAATTGAGGTCAGGTTGTTCACACTTCACGTAGGCCTACTCCACCATTATTTGTGAATTGGGAAAATATGAAAACTGTTATTTTGCCCTCCGAGTCCGAAACTAATCCAAGCAAGGAATTGGAATCTCATTTAATTCTACATAAGATGTTAATTACTATGCCTAATTTTTACATTGCTGACTTCATGATATATGACGCCACTAAGGTCATCGGAGTTTTTCGTCAATAACTTCCGATCAAATTGATCTAGCCTAGCGAGTCGGGAAAGCACCCATTGAGTCTAAAAGACCTGCCGAATCGAATGATATGCTGCATGACCTCTTTCGACCAACTTTGTGATCTGAACGGCTCTGACCTAATTTGACCCAAGGTCAACATCCGACCTCTTACAAACAAAAACAAAATTTCCGACGCGCCTGAGCATACGATGGTAGAATACGATGGTGCCAAAATTACGGCTGTGTCCCAATTTCTGTCGAAGTTTTTAACCCGCGCCGTGCTGGTGGTCTGTGTTTTCCGTGTCTGTCGTGGTGGTGGTGGTGTGGGGGGGGGGGGGAGGGGGGATCGTTTTCACGCCCCGTCTAACTCGGCTCATGGGCCACGTAGCGACACTCGGGATAAGCGGCAATCGAAAAAGCGTAAAAAAAATAATGAAGAAAATTTATCGGTCATTTTTTAGGTCAGGTCAAAGGTCAGGTCGTCAGAGGTCATCAGTCAAATTTTTGCCTTTTTCAAAAAATTTCGGAAAACTGGGGCATAACTTGGGAGCCAACAAAGCTACAACGCCGCGGAAAAGCTCGTTTGATAGCCCTTTTAATGGGCTTTCTGAAGCGTTAGGCACCTCAGATTTGACCTCAGGTCAATGGTTTAGCCTCCAGAGGGTAAAAACTCTACGAGAGATGTTTTTTCTGTATGTAATAACTTTTGACTCAAGGGAGTCACGAGTATTACTTTTGCCAGAATCGTGTTCCTCTCACCTCTGGTCCAGACGCGTCGAATGAACTAGGTATAATTTGATCTCGAAAGTTCATTTTGAAAATTTGACCTCACTAACCGGAAGAGGTCATGTTGCATATAAGTTGATCCGTATCGTCGAGCTGAGCACATCTGAGGTGATTTCACTACTTTTCACCGCTCTAATATGTCTCTATCAAAAGTTAATGTAAAAACTACTAGGGACCTTCATGACCTGCGATGACCTCAGGGGCTCAGAGAGGTCACGGGTGCAATTTTCCAATTCAGTTTATCATGTTTATACCTCCTTTATCGATAAACCGAAGTTTGAGTGTTTAGAATGACGTTCGTCCAAAAGAGGCGCATTTCAATTTTCCCCATTGACTTATAAGGTCGCAAAATTGACCTACCCTTGGGTCATCGATGTCAAAATTTCGAAATAAGCATTTCATACATACTATCGCTGAAAGTCTCAAAACGATCGTTCAGTCGGTCTCGGTGTAGCTATAGGAACTTTTCTGACCTTTTCTGAGGTATGGTCACGACGTGACCTGGTGACCTGACCTTGGACGACCCGAGTCTGAAATTTTCACGTCATGTGCAGAAAAGATGTATGAGTAGGTGTGACAAAAAATGCCGGCGGCGCCGTCTTTGAGATATTTGCAAAAACCTTGCGGGGGGGGGGGGAGGGAGCGCCCCAGCACGGCACGAGTCAATCAAGACTCGTGTTAACCTCCAACTTGGAGCATTTGACCTGACTCTAGAGGTCACTAGTTGACCTGAGACCTTGAAGTGATTTTTTTTTTAATGTATAAACCTTTGATCCGAAGTTATTGCTATCCTATGTGACTAACCGTTCACCATTGATCCATGCTCACTGACTCATCTGTTCACCGTACGTCAATTATGACCTGCTCACCGCTCACCAGTGATTCGCGCTCACCTGCTCACCGCTCACCAGTGATTCGCGCTCACCTACCTAACGCCCACCGATTGACTTTGCTCACCATTCTTCGTTGAATTGACGGTCGTCAAGTTAGATGTAAGTGAATCCTAATCTATAATCTAAGATTCGGAATCAGGTGAGCCCCTACGATTTGGACCAAACTTGGTCAGTGGATAGTACGCAACGTCCTGATTACGATGCACCCAAAATCTAAGCTCGGCCCGCCATATTTACGAAGTTACGGATGTTTGAATTTCAAGGTCATTCGGGAGAGCCCCTGCGATTTCCGTCAAAATTTGTGTACGGACACTCTAGACGCTCGTCATTACGAATATTACAAAATTTAAGCTCGGCCCGCCATATTTACGAAGTTGCGGAGGTTTGAATTTCAAGGTCATTTTGGTGAGCCCCTGCGATTTCCGTCAAAATTGGTATACGGACATATTGCATCCTCCTCATTACAAATATCATAAAAGTTAAGCTCGGCCCGCCATATTTTTCAAGTTACGGAGTCACAAAGTTACGGAATTTCAAGGTCATTCGGAGAGCCCCTCCGATTTTTGTCAAAATTTGTATGCTGACACATTACATGCTCCTCATTACGAATATCGTAAAAGCTAAGCTCGGCCCGCAATATTTCAAAAGTTACTGACGTTTGAAACTCACTGAAATTCAAACAGCTCTAACTTTTGAAATAGTGCGGGCCGAGCTTAGCTTTTACGATATTCGTAATAAGGAGCATGTAATGTCCCCGCATACAAATTTTGACGAAAATCGGAGGGGCTCTCCGAATGACCTTGAAATTCCGTAACTTTGTGACTCCGTAACTTGAAAAATACGGCGGGCCGAGCTTAACTTTTATGATATTTGTAATGAGGAGGATGCAATATGTCCGTATACCAATTTTGACGGAAATCGCAGGGGCTCACCCAAATGACCTTGAATTTCAAACCTCCGTAACTTCGTAAATATGGCGGGCCGAGCTTGAATTTTGTGATATTCGTAATGAGGAGCATCTAGAGTGTCCGTACACAAATTTTGACGGAAATCGCAGGGGCTCTCCCGAATGACCTTGAAATTCAAACATCCGTAACTTCGTAAATATGGCGGGCCGAGCTTAGATTTTGGGTGCATCGTAATCAGGACGTTACGTACTATCCACTGACCAAGTTTGGTCCAAATCGTAGGGGCTCACCTGATTCCGAATCTTAGATTATAGATTAGGATTCACTTACATCTAACTTGACGACCGTGTTGAATTGCGCTTACCTGCTCACCGTCAACACTCTCCTGCTCCCCAGCGATCCGCGCTTACCTGCTCACCGTCAGCACTTACCTGTTCAGTCAGCGGTGCCGCCGACGCACCGAGCGCCAGCAGCAGCAGCAGCAGCGGGAGTCCCGGCGCGGTAGCCATCTCTGGCCGGTCTGAGCGGGCGACACGGGCCAACCCGGAGGGCGAGCGTCACGGGTGGCGTATACAGTATACACAGCAGGCACCGGCAGCTGTGCCAGAATCTCAGGCGTCAACTTCGACCGCTCCTGATAGCATCTGGTGTCCAGGAGTGTAGTTTATGCCACACCCGCGCCACAGCTCCCCTCTGGGTCACCGAGAGACAGTGTTTACCTAATTATGTATTCACAGACGTTGTGAGATAGTGGTATAAGTGAATCGGCGACATACTTGCACTCCATTTGACGAAAATGAAACATTGTCCGGATCATTGTTCTTTATATATATATTTTTTAAACAAATGTGCAATACCTATTTGTTGCGGACGCGAAACATTGGAGAAAAGTGTTGAAATGTGTTTCGAAAACCGTTGTTGCTATTCAGCAAGCTGATCAATCATGTCCATTACCTTCCGTTACTCTATGATACTACAACCAACGCCTAACACAGACAACAAACAAAGAAAGTACGGAGGTAGTTACACATGTGTATTCTGGGCATACAAACACTTGCATTGCGCGACAGACTCGTCTCCAAAACAATACGTTATCGCCGAACCCTGACGACCTCCATAAAAAACAACACCTGGCCGGCCTGTGTGTATGGTGGGGTGTCACACGCGCACACGCCGGTCGTACGTACTTAGAGATCTTTCTCACAGCGCACGCCGCCCGTACTGGGCGGCACAGTATCATCGAAACAATGTTGGGCGACCCCACTGACCTTCCTCCTTCCTCCAGCGCCAAACTAAAATGCGCCTTATGGAACCACAGCACGTGACTCTGAGCGAATGGAACTCTGATTGATCAAATGGCCATTATCAGTTGCAGTGTACGACGTACGTGGTACCTCAAACCCGGTAGGGACTGCACCGATATGACGATGGGCAAGATACGCGGCTAAGGCGACATTTTACTGCCGCCGCAGACATGCTGGACATCGCTACGGCAGTGTAGACCGGAGAGGACTGACCGCTCAGGTGACAACCTCACTGTCCTTTATGACTATGAAAACACCGTCCTATTAGATCCATGATACTGCGTTACGCTTTCGCTTTCCGGCAGGTGGCGGTTTCGTTCGCCGACCGGCCGCGGTAGTTATAGCGTTTGCGCATTCGGACGATACAGTTGTGGATCTTGGTGGCCGTTCCTAGTCTCACCTTCAGTATTGAACAGAGGTCGTCCCGCGTCAGCAGCAGCAGCGCCTCGCCGTCAATCTCCTGGAAAACGGAGCCGAGACGTCAACCACCGATAGCACCGGCTGTTACTAGATGCACCCCGGAACTCAACTCGTCCCTGAAGTTCCCGGGAGCGCCGGTCCTAAACCCACCTCGCTCTGAAGATGCTGAGAGCGTTTGACCCCACCCCACCTTGTTACCGTGAGCGCTTCGTCCCAGACCCACCTCGTCTTTGATGATGTCGAGCGACGACCCGGCGTCTCCGGTCGGGCCGAAGTGGCCCAGGAACCGATGCACGGTCTCTGCGTCCCACACGTGGATGGCGCTGTGCATGGCTAGAAACCGGTCGACAGTGTTCAGCTTCTTACAGGTCGGCCAGACTCCGCGCCGTTCTGTGGAAAGAGGGGGAGGAGGAGCAGAATTAGAGACCGAGAACAGGCAGAGAGCGAGCAGACATTAAGAGCAGAATACAAACAGGAGCGGAATATAGATCGGCTTCGCTCCGTACCGGGTGCGGGCGCGTCCTTGTCGAAGACGGAGTCGGTGACCTCGCTGGCGATGCTGCTGATGTCCCGGGAGAGGGTCACCACCTTCCTGGCCGGAGGCGGCGGAGGGTCGGTCGAGCTCGGAGGGTCAGTGGCGGGTACCGGCGGCGACGGTAGCTCCACGCTGTGGCACACAACACACAGTCAGCACAGTCAGTACGCACAATACACATAGCAAACATAACACGGTCCGGACCAACCGTCGGACCAAACCGGAAAAGGGGAACACTGCCAGATATTTATTGAAACAAAGCGACTCATGCAAGCTGAATTTTATTTCTTGCTGCAAACTTCCCCACCGTTCTTAGAGCCATCTATCCGTACCACAAAGCTGTCTGAACCCCCAGCGCCGTACCTGTCAAGCCCCCCCCCCCCCCCCGGCGCACCCACAGAGCCTCTCGGAGTCAATATACCCTGTCTCTGTCCTACCTGTCGAGCTCCTTCTCCTCCGGCAGGGCCGAGGCGCGCCGGTCCGGTGTCACCTCCCGCTGCCCCCGGTACGGACACTGCTCGGTGACGATATGACGCCGGTAGCGCGGCCCGCCGGCGTTCCCCAGGCCGGCACAGCCCGGCGTGCCGCAGCGGCCGGCCTGGGGCCGCGTCACCGGCGGCGTGAGCGGGTGGCCGGTGCGGCGGCACCAGCCGGGCGCGTACAGGCCGGGCCCGTCGGCGGCCACCCACTGGTCGGGCGCGCCGCGCCAGCCGTCGGGCCGCAGCCGCACCAGGCCGTGCCGGCTCACCTCCACCACGTGCATGACGCGCACCAGAGCCGGAACCTGGAGGGGAGCGGGACGTCAGCGCAGGCCGGGGACCAAAGACGGAGGGACTGGATGTGCCAGAGCTGAACGGTGTCACTGCTGAACGACATCGCGAAAAACCGGCAAGATCATAAATAAGAGCAAAGGAGCTGGAAAACACAAACATGCCAGCTTTAGCGTCATCCACGGGAAACAAAGTACGTACTGAAATAAAACAAACACTTACTCAAAAGATGAACCCATCGACCAACCAGACTTGGTTACAAGATAAGTGGATGCACGCTAAATAACGATCACAGAGCTCATCCTCTCAATCCCACCATACCTGGTTATCTCAGTCAAACGGACAAACGCCACACTTACCCTGACATCGACGGCCTCGACTCGCATGCCCGGGTGTAGAGTAGGGATGTTCCGTGTGCGTAGCATCCGGGCTGGCACCGGTAGGGACCGGGTACGAACCAGGTGAGTCTGCCACCGGAACGGGCCGTCCGCCTCCGTCCAGTCTGCGGCCGGGAGGAGGACACGGGTCAGCGCGGAGCACGGCGTACGGGGTGGTACGGACCAGTCAGCTTGGAGAAATAAAGCTTGGAGTAGTACCAGTTCACGAATGAGCGACGATAGTTACGATTTCAGGAACGTCCAGAGCAAAGCAAACCATCAATTACTGTAAGCAACTATCACAAACACCTCATCGCGCCGGCAACCTCTCCAACGCACAGACTCGATCGTCAAGGTCCTGGCACCTACTATGGACGTCAAACCGCTTGAGACCCCACTTTTTTGCGATAATTTTTAAATGCGTCATCTCTCGTTGACAATATTGTGGCAATGTGTGTTTCAGAACCTGCCGAAACTTTTATTACTAAGGTATTTTGACGCCAAACGATTATGAAAGGTACTTCTCATTCACTCGTAATGTTAAATTTCACGGAACGAATCTGCTGTTTGGGTAGAGGCTAAGCGCTCATGGGGCGGAGCCACGTAATGACGTCAGCCCTAAGCTCCGCCCTACCCCTCCGGCGCTCCTTGCCCGGCGACCGGTCACTCGCGTCCCTCGCTCCATTCAGGCTTGATGGTGGTCGGTAGCTGGTAGCGGCAGCGGGCGCTGGTAGATGGCATTTAGAGCAGATGGCGCTGGTGGCGGGGCTCGAGTGTGGCCGAGCGCAAGCCTCTGCCCGGGCCTGAATTGACCTTAGCATTACGAGTGAATGAGAAGTACCTTCCATAATCGTTTGGCGTCAAAATACCTTAGTAATAAAAGTTTCGGCAGGTTCTGAAACATACATTGCCAGAATATTGTCAACGAAAGTTGACGCATTTAAAAATTATCGCAAAAAAGTGGGGTCTCAAGCGGTTTGACGTTCATAGTAGTCAGTCCTCACACAACCACTCTCCTCCTCCCCCACCTGTTCAACTCAACTCACCTGTTGGGTTTCCTTGACTCACCAGTGCATGAGGAGAGGCAGGAAACCGTGTAGGAAAGAGACGCGCCAATTCTCCTGGTTACGCTGGGCGCTGAACGGCCAGCAGCCCCCTCTTCCCCCCCCCCCCCCTCCCGGCTGCTCACCGCTGGGCGGCAGCACCGGCACGCCGTTCTCCTCAGCCCAGGTGACGGGCCGCAGTCGGGGCGAGCTCAGCTCGGCCCAGTAGCCTGGCGAGCCGCCGGCGCCGTCGAAGGCTACCAGCACCCGGTCGCCGCGCACCTGGGCCACGCGCGCCGGCCGCATGTGGCGCGGGTGCGCCGGGTCTGCCGCCTCCAGCCGCTGGCCGGCGCGCACCTCCATCTCCACCTAAAGGGCGGCGCACAGAGACCGTGACGGGCACTGGGTATTACACGTTTACAGCCACGGACAGTGGACAGCGGCCGTGACGGGCATTGGGTATCACAGCCAGGAACAACAGCAGCGGCCGTGACGGGCACTGGGTATTATAGGCAGTGCAAGTCGCAACAAAAACCCATGCTTAGTAGCTTGAATAAAATTAAGCTAAGCAGCTATTTTTTAGAATGACTGTAACGAGATTGGTTATGATTGATCGGCTGTCATACACGACCATTACTGAGATTGAACACAATTTACAGTTAAGGTCACGTCCAAGCAAATACTCAGGTGTTCAGCAGCGCGCGGTACCCGGGCCCAGCTGCATCTCCTAACCTACCCGCTGGATCGGCTTCTCGTCTTCGATGACACAGGTAAATGCGGCGTCCGGGGCGGCGCGGGCGCGCAGCTCGCGCAGGTAGTCGGCCCAGCGGAACGGCGCGTGCCGGCGGCCCGGCGGCGCCTGCAGGTCCGTCTCGTTGGTCCGGTGCCGCTCCGTCCAGCCGCAGGGGAAAATGTCGCGCGAGCTGCTCTCCACCCAGAAGTCGAAACGCACGCTGTAGCCGTCAAAGTGCAGCCTCAGCCGCGAACCTGTGTGGGACCGGAGGGGCTGGACGTCAGTCAGGGGACCTGATGCAAGACACAAAGTGTCAACATAACCAAGCCGCGTGTTTAGTCATGTCGCCATTACTATCCCGCCGCATGAGAGTCGGTCGACATGACATCTCGCAATTTGTAGGTGTAAATTAACCTCTGTATGACACATAAGTAAGACATTTATATGACACCTCGTACGTATGACACCTCACTAATCACCATGGCAGGTGACACGCACCTGACACCTCACTATGACACCACTGACACGTACCTGACACCTCATCAAGACACCACTGACACGTACCTGACACCTCACTATGACACCACTGATACGTACCTGACACCTCTGCCACAGTACAGACGCAGGTGAGGGACGGGTCTCGCGGGTCCACCGCCTCCAGACGCTCGCCGACATTGAACGGCAGCCGGGCCGGCGGCGGGCCGTCCTTGGGATCCGGAGCCGCCACGGCGGTCGGCAGTGTGCGTCCCAGCGCGTCCAGGTAGACCGACCACGAGAACGAGCCGGTACCGGGGTACACCAGGGGCTGGCTGTCCTGGGAAAGGAGAGAGGAGATGGTGTGGTAATGCACCATATATCAGAGGCTGGGCGAGCTGGGGAAGGGGAGGGCGATTGGTGTGGTTATCCCTCATGTACGACAGGCTGGGAACCCTGGGGAAAGGGGAGGGGAGCGCAGGGGTTTATAGCCGAATCTCAGAGTATGGGCGTCCTGGGGAAAGGGAGGGGAGTGCGTGGGTTCTGATACCCGTATGACAGAGGCCAGGTGTTCGTGCGCGGGTTCGTGCTTTGTAACCAGACGTTGGATGCCTTAGGGTAGTAGAGGAGAAGGTGGGTTGGCTGGCACTGAAAAAGGGGGACAGGAGGGATATTCACAATATAGAGGCACGACACTTTTTGTCATTACTAAGGAACAAATGAGCATTTATTGATTATTTTATCGTCACTTACCTATCTTACCTAAGCTAAATTAAACTTGTGTTTTCTGAAATTGCATGGCGCAGCTGTCTCTTCGCAATCACCGCCACCTGTGATGCCCAATGAATATGAATGGGTTTTCCCTGTAGAATTGTTTTGATTGGTGACATTTACTTTGGGAAATAAAACGGAGCTCCCACATACCATTTTCCTTCTTTTACTCTTTATTGCAGCTACGTTCTCTTTCTGACTGGGTGTTTTCTGCATTTTGACATCTATTCCCCTTCTCTTCTTATCGAGAGCCTCTCGTCCAGTGCTGACGTCGCGGCAAACCTGTCAAAGAAACGAAACTCATTACTTTAAAGCAGACACCGTCAGACAAAACGCCTCTCATGAACAATGAACATGAACGGAGAGACATATAAGCAATACTGTCTGTGACAGTGCCCACCGAACACAAACAAAAAGTGCCCCATTGCCCACCTTGCACAAAAAAATTGTGTTCAAATATTGCCATTTAGCATAGGAAGCATTCAACACCACTCTGTTGCTGAGAAAATTTTAAAATGACAAAGGTACTCACGGATCATAACCCTCTGTACACTGTACAGCCACGTAAAACAGCAGAGGCCTCAGCGCGAACACCGGTAAGATTACCAGCCCCTTCGCTCTGTGCGACTCCCGGCGCCCTTCGCGGGTCCTCACCCTGCTGCAGAACTCTCCGCCGGAGGTGAAGTCGGCCAGACAGCCGTACGAGCCGCACACCGAGCACCAGCAGATGGTGTCCGGCTGGCGGCCAGTGCCACCGCGCGGACACGCCGTACGGCCGGAGCCCGAGAACGCCGTGCGCGCTGACCGGTCCAGCACCTCCACCAGGCCGAACTCGTTCAGAAACAGCTGCAAGAGGGATCGCGGGGGAGTGGTGTCAGTGAGCGGGATAGTAGGAGAGTAGTAGCCATAGTTAGTCAACGGACAGCGAGACACACGTGCAGAAGGCATGGTCATTTGGTCATTCAAGGTAGATGACGTGGAAAGGAACATTGTGAATCATCGTAGATATTGCCCGTAAGAAAGAAAATGTACGACATACTACTTCCAAGCCAGGAAACAAAATATTTAAATGTTTGATAAATCAAGCTAATGTCAATGCAACAAGCATCGAAAATGTCAACAGCAACAACAAGCGCCAATATGACGGAAACGTCTGCTTACATGCGTTTCCTTTGTGTCAGGCTCCTCGCGTTTTCTCTTTTTGGTGATATTGGCGAATCCGGACCAGTTCCAGGCGAGTTCGTCTATACTGCAGATCTCCTCCAACAGCGACTGCAGCTCCCTGGGGTCCGATATGGGCCGCCGCTCGGGACTGGGTGTCGGAGACAGCGGGCGGCGCGGCGGCACCGCTATCAGCCGGGGCGGAGACGGCTCCGGCGGCGGCCCCGGAGGCTGCCTCGGGGGCGACTCCGGCGGCGGCGGAGGCAGCTCCAGATGCTCGGTATCGCGCACCAGCGGCAGAAGCACGTCCTTGCGTCGGCGCTGGCGCCCGCCGGGCCGCGGCGCAGTGCTTTCCGTGCTGCCAGAGCTCGGACCGGCGGCCGGAGGGTCAGCAGGCAACGGCTGGGACGGCTGTGAGTCCTGGGAGCTTGGAGCGCCAGCTGGAGGGTCACTCGGCTGGGCCGGGGGCGGCTGCGAGTCCTGGGAGCTCGAACACACCGCCGGAGGGTCGCTCGGCTGGGGCGGGGGCGGTTGTGAGTCCTGAGAACTAGGCTCCGTCGACGGAGGGTCACTCGGTTTGGGCGGGGGTGGCTGGGAGTCCTGAGAGCTGGGCTCGGCCGGCGCCTGCCGCGTCTGCGTACCGCCAGCGGCCGAGGACCCACTCCCATCTCCCTGTACCTGCTCCAGCAGCCCGTCGATCAGCATATCAGCCGTCTGCGGCGACTGGGCTGCGCTGTCCACACAGTCAAATATCTCGCTCACCGCCTTCTGCAGCTCCTCGTCGACACTAACCCGGCTCGGCCTGCCGCTCACCGCCGGCCCGTCAGCCTCGGAGGACGGCACCGTGGCGGGCTCCTCACATACCTGCACCTCCCCATCATCAACCACCAGCGGCCGGTCGGCCGGCGGTGGCGCCGGAGGCCGCAGTGAGTGCAGTGGCATGCTGGCGGGACCGGCGGTCCTCTCCAGACGACCATGGAACACGCGTGCGTCCGCTGCCCGATTCGTCACCGGCGCCACAGACACGGGTGACACGCCGGAAGTGGTCGCCGTTACACAGCCGTTGGCAATGCGAACGTTGATGACACCGGAGGGAGCTTTCTCTGTCCCAGTGTTCGACTCAGGATTTGGAGTGCCGGTGTGACTGACTACAGCCTGGGTGACCGGTTCAGCGGTAAGGCCCGAGATGGGTACTACGACCGGTGGAACGGTGGGCTTCGGTGCCGAGCTTGGCACAATCATCGCCACAGCGCCGACGCCTAATTTTACGGCAGCTTTCACTTTGACTTGTTTAGCTGGCTTACTCGACAACACAGCCTCGCCTACAGTCTTGTGTGTTCCCTTGTCGGCTAGCTTATCGCCCATTTTCATGGCGGAAGTCACTGCAGGGGCCTCAGCGGTCCGGCCGCGTTTGCTGGCCGGCTCAGCGGCGGCACTGACGGCCGACCCAGCGGTAGGAGCGGCGCCCACAGCGGCCCGCGGCGGCCCACTGACTGTCTTTCCCGCTGTCGAGGCGGCTGTCACAGAGGTCCGCGACGGCCCGCCGGCGGTGGTGGTCTGAGTGCCGCTGGGGAGCGCCGACACGGCGGCACGGGGTCCGGCCGGCACCACCGGCAGCACGCCCACGCCCGGCGCGTCGGCGCGCTCCCCGGGCTGCCGGCGGTAGAGCACGATCCGCTCCTTGCCGCCCACCATCACCACCTGGGCGCGCACGCCGGCCAGCGTCACCTTCTGAACCACAGACGGGGCGGTCGAGGTGGACGGAGCGGCCGCCGGGGTGACCGCCGCCGGCCGCGGCTGGATGTTGACGGCCGGCACTACAGACCGGGTGGTGTACACGGGCGGACAGCGGGTCCGGGGCGCCGCAGTCCTGTGGATCAGACAACCGCGGTCACACGGCGGAGGGCGGAGGAACTAGCGGTTAACGGAGATGGGCGACAGATGGCGCGCATAACAGTGTCGAGTCTGGTCATCATATTCAAGGTACGGTACGGACTTAAACTTTTTTATCAAGGTACATACTACATATCACCAATAGGGTGATTTAGATTAGAGTTGCATTGCTGAACCAGATTGAAAATTCACCTCCGAATTGCATAGATTTTACGGAGTGTGAACACCATCTATTAAATTCTGAAACAATAAGAAAAACATTCGCAACGTCAAATAAAGCAGAGGACGGGGAAACAAGGAAAAAGAACACTTACTTTGGCCCAACCACTATGACTCTCTTGTTGTTATTCAGCGCGCTTGGCGTAACAGTTTGGTTAACCTGAAAATGAAGGTATACAACGTAAAGTACAAGTACGGGACAGTCGTCCCAAGCTTTGAGTCAGCCACCGGCCATGGGAAGCAGTCAAGATACCAAAATAAGCCCCTCCTAATGCTGAAGAGCGAGTATGCTGTCAATGGTGTAATCGATACCGTTGGTATGGGTACGGCAGAGATGACTTTGTGAAGCTGATGATGAAACATAATCAGATAACTATTGCCTATGAGAGAGAGGATAATGACTTACCGTTGCCTTCGGTTTGACGATGACAACCTGGGAGGGTGACTTTCCCCGGGGAGCCGGCGTGGCCGTCCCGGGAGCTACCTCCCGCCGCGCTCTGCCACCGATAGTGATCACCGGCAGGGAGGTAGAGATGGTCACCGGCGCCTGGGCGCGCACTGGACGCACCGCAGCCGCCTGGCGCACCGCCCCGCGGGCCCGGACGACGGTCCGCGCCCCTGCGCGCGGTCCGGTCGGCCTTCTGACTGCGCTGGGCCCCGCAGTGGCGGACCGCGGCGCTAACAGCTGCCCCGGCAGCGCCGACGGTGGCTCCCCCTGCGCCGATTCCGCCGCAGATGGTGGCGCCCCCTTTTCAGTCGGTGGGGCCGGGCCGGAGGCCGAAGCCGTGGGCTGCCCAGCGGTGGACTCCGCTGGTCGTCCCATAGCAGCTCCCGGTGCCGATGGCTGGGTATTGGCATTTTCCGGCTGAAAACAGTGACATAAAACCAAACTCTGGACCACTAATTGACAGTATTAAAAAAATATAAACCTGGCGTTTGTGCTTACAAAAAATCTTGATAAACAAATCATAAAACTGTGCCAGTAACAAGCATATCCTTGGCCATGGCTATCATTTATCAATGCTCTCTTATAGTGCCAATCAAAAGCCAAGAGTGCTTCCGGAATGATTACACTAAATCAAAGTCAGGCAATAATATGCATTCTCTAGAAATGTCCTCAAGGATATGAAAACTCATAATATGTATCATAAAACTCATAATAAGAGCATAATCATAAAACTCATAATAAGAGCATAATATGTGAGGGGTATATGCATAGATTGGTAGCAATACTTATAGGTAGGTACTCGCATATACCTAAACAAAATTCTTACCTCCAAAGCCATCTGCATGGCTTGTAAAACATCCATATCCTCAACCAGATGCAGATTGGGAGAATGTAAGAATGACAAATCTGCCAGATCTTTGTCCATTGTCTGAAATATATTTTATTACCAAATTCTTATTTGGCTAGGTCGACAAAGGTTCCCAATTATAATGACATGAGAAACTGAACATTAGGGTGGTCCGTTTTTGGAAAATTTTCGCTGAGACAGCTCGGCTGTTGCTCTTTAGATGTGTTTTTGGGCGCTGATCACGAATCTGGCATCAGAATTGCAATTTTCGAAAATTTCGAGACCGCACTGATCGATCAAAGATTTTCAAAATTACTGAATTTTCGACGTTCAGGCTAACCATTGCTAAATGCTGCATCTGTCGATGAAAATTGCGCTAAGGCATGATAGACAAAACCTTTTCAGTCATCTTTACACCAGTCGCAGTCGTCTTGTGTCAATGACACGCCTAAAAAATTCGTCCCATCATTATCTCCACACCCGAGCTTCTGTTGGCGCTCCAGAGATGGCGCTGCTATCGGCTCCGCGCGGCCATCAGCTGTATTGTTTATTTATCGGCGTGACGGCACAGCTGGTGCTGCGATAATGAGCTGTGGTGTGGTAAGTAGTTAAAGCGGTTCTTATTTGTCGCATTTTAAGGTCATGAGTGGTTTTAAAAGTGAATAGCATTCACATCTAAGTCGCATATATACCAAACTTCCTTCCTTTATAGATGTTTACCCGTTTTCCGACAGGCCTTGCATTCGATATTGGCAAGTGGAGTTTTTAACTTTTTACAAAGGTACCTATATGCCTGGGAAAATGTTTTATTACACAAAATATTCAATCCTCACTGTTCCATTGTGTTTCCATTGTGTTTCCATTGTGTTCCATTCCGGGCGACGTGTTTGTCGGACACATTTCGTGCAGTGATCGGCATACAGGTGTGGCAACAGCTGAACAGCTCATCAGCTTTCTTAGCGAGCGAGGCGTGGACGTGTCCACGGTCACCACCATTGGTGGTGACGGCACCAGCTCAGTGGTAGGTCACCGCGGGGGCTTGATGGCTCACCTTGAGCGGCTCCTCGGCAGACCACTCACGCGGGTAGTCTGTCTCAACCACCAAGCAGAACTGCCTTACAGAGCGCTCTTTCGGAACATAGACGGTGAAACCACAGGACCATCCAGCTTCTCCGGTCCAATCGGCCGGATGCTGGCGGGTCCGGTGCACCAGCTGTCGATGGCCCAGTTTCGGCCCCTGTCAGGTGCGGAGCTGCCCGAGGTTCCTCCAGACGTGCTGAGTGGCCTCAGCAAGGACCTCCACCTGCTTTTGGAGTGTGCCTCTGCTGTTGCATCAGGCAATGGCACAGCGGTGGCCCACCGCCAACATGGCAAACTGAACATGGCCAGATGGCATACCGCCCAAAGTAGGCTCCTGCGGGTTTACATGTCCGAGCAGTGTCCGAGCGACGACCTGACCACTCTGGCGGTGTATGTGGTGACCGTGTATGTGCCGGCAATTATGTCCATCAGACACCAGCCAGACCTGGTCGAGGCACCAAAACACCTCTACAATCAGCTGGAGCGACAGCGCCGGCATCTCAGTGGTGTCGCGCTCGACACAGTTCAGCAGAGTGTGCGCAGGAACGGCTATATGGCTCACCCCGAGGCGGTGCTACTCGCCATGCTGGGTGATGACGACGACGACGTGCGGCACCAGGCGGTGCAGCTGGTGCAAGAGGCACGAGAGCGCCAAAAGCCGGACAAGGTCAGGTCCTACAAGGTCCCAGAACTTAACCTCGGTGCGAAGTCATACACCGAACTTGTAGATGTGAATAAGTACGCACAGGAGAACGATGTGGAACCGCCATTCATCCGTTCACTCAGCGTGGAGAAGCTGAATGAACTACTGGAGACGCCACTGAGAACACACATACCGTGCCATACACAGTCGACGGAACGAAGTGTGAAACTAACCACAGAGGCAGCGGCGGCCGTCGCTGGAAGAGACAGACAGGACGGATACAGCCTGAACAAGGTGGCCTATCGCCGGCGGCTGCGGAGCAAGCCGATTTGAGAGATGCAACATTCGATGAGCGGAAAAGTTTCGCGTTGCCAACGCGTTGCTGTTGTAGCCTATTGGGCACCACTGACTGCCTCAGTTTTTTCTCGGTTCTTCAAAATGTAGGTAGGTATTCGGTGTCATGCATTTTAACTATATGTCAAAGCTTCAGTGTATCCTGCGTTTAAATTGGTGCAACCCAATATGTTTTGTCTGTCAATATATCTGTCGAAGTATTCGCTAGTGAGGTATTTATAGAGTGGACGATAATCCAAGCAATAACATTCACTATTTGACCAAAATAGGTACTATGGCATCCATGGCAGTGTCAGCAGACTCTCAGAATCTCACTCGGGTCGACTCGGATGGACTCGGATCGGAATGTCTGCCAGCGCTGGCGGCTGTGATGCTTTTTAGTCTCAGCGCGTGAGCTACCGTCAGACATTACCTTCGATCCGGAGGTTGGTAGTAGGTATCGGCCGCCATTAAAAAGTAACGTTACGAATTACGATAGTTAGGGGGTGCGCGGGTAGGCGGAGACGTTAATAAAGGAGGTGTTGATTTGGGGGGGGGCTGGAGGGGCTTACAGCAGTCATGAAAGCGGCACATCTATGCAGGCTATTTACGGTGACCTAGCTTGACCTTGACAATGACCTCGACCTTCATGCTGACTCAAGGCATACTCTGGTTGATTCTCGAAATGGTACACATGGCAAAACAACCACAACCACTACAAAACAACAGCTACAAATTGGCCAAGCATGGTTCAATTTGCGCGAAACATGGCCAATCGGCGTTTTCGGCCGTGATATGACCTTGAAAACGAGGTCATATCTCCAGAACCAAAGGTCACAGATTCTTCAAATTTTAAGTCATGCTCGACAAAGGATAAATGAGCAGCTAGACTAAATTTCAGATCTCTATCTCAAAAGACGTAGCGTGCAGCGATGATCAACTACCTGGACGGGGGTAGGGATGGGGGTTAGGAACACTTCCCCTATTTGTATTCGAGGTTTGAAATATGGATACCTAGGTCTAAAATATGTAACATAATAAGCATTTCAATACTACAACACACTCACACCACATTCCGCAAAATCCGCCTAACCGTCGCGGCGATAAAAAACAATGCAGCTGATGGCCGCGCGGAGCCGATAGCAGCGCCATCTCTGGAGCGCCAACAGAAGCTCGGGTGTGGAGATAATGATGGGACGAATTTTTTAGGCGTGTCATTGACACAAGACGACTGAGACTGGTGTAAAGATGACTGAAAAGGTTTTGTCTATCATGCCTTAGCGCAATTTTCATCGACAGATGCAGCATTTGGCAATGGTTAGCCTGAACGTCGAAAATTCAGTAATTTTGAAAATCTTTGATCGATCAGTGCGGTCTCGAAATTTTCGAAAATTGCAATTCTGATGCCAGATTCGTGATCAGCGCCCAAAAACACATCTAAAGAGCAACAGCCGAGCTGTCTCAGCGAAAATTTTCCAAAAACGGACCACCCTACTGAACATAAGAATATAAATGCATACTTTGGGACTGATTTAATCAACAAAATAGCACAATAAGGTTCAAATATGACATTATTCTATTTCATTAAGCATATAATAGAATTTCTTCACTTTTCACTACATAAATACCTCAAATAATATGCAAGCAATTGTTTTCAGTGTTGCCATAGTTTTTGATTCTTATCTTTCATCATTTCCAATTAAAATTACCTTTCTGCTGACACAATGTGAGCACGCTGTTTTTAAGTGGTTAAACTACCTATTTTCAACTGTTTGTACGCTTAAAACTGTCCTTGAGTCAAATTTTCTTCTCGTTTAATTTTCATTTCACGTAGTTTAATTTTTATTTGTTTGAATAAATGCCAAAAATTGAATACAACAGCTTAAAACTGAACAGAACAAAATGAAGCTATCACTATGCTGCCTATAAGACCCACTATTGAAATTTGAAACATGCTCTTATATGACTAAAATGTTTTTTCACATGCTCTGCCATTTATTAAAAATATGCAATTGGGTCTAACACGTTCAGTAAGTTTCTAAAACACCGAACAACCAAAATACAGATGAAAACACAAATTGAATTGTACTAAATATACCTACATCCAAGTCCAACCCATCTATCTTTGATCACAAATTATAATTTCAAGCTCACTTTATTGTTTATATCACATTGCAAAAACAGTGGCATCAAAACAATATCAAATTTATCCAGTGAAGGGTGGACATTGACATATGGGTGTTACGCAGTTATCATTCATTAATGGTAAATGTTTGTATTTAAAAATCTGGATTTTACGTCAGCAGACATAAGACTCACAAAAAAGGTTTAAGTTCAGCAGCATAACTACTAAAACAAGACAGTTTGAGTTGCTGACAAGTGATAAATCCATGGTTTGCAAATTTCTGCAACAAATTGTCAATATATTCACTGATACAATCAAATAACACTGTCAGATGACTGTCAAATATCTTGAAGAATACATAAGAATCTTGATTAAAAAAGGCAAAAATGGCACACAAAGGTAAAATGGCAAAAACGGAAAGCACAATTGGCTATAAAACTATGGAAAGCAATAGTCCGAAATGTAAAAACACTTATCCACAGTATATAGAGAACTCACTTATCAGTTTTGTGAAAGCAAAATTTATCACCTCGATTAGATTCACAAAAAATGACTGCCAGCCGTGCCAGCCTTTCCTCACAATCAGCAGGCAAGTAAAACTCGTAATCTAGGCTCTCTCTATCGCCTGGATAAAAATAGGCCCCGCCCATCCCAATCAGCTGCTGCATGACGAGTTGATGACGACAACCACTACTTACCAGCAACCAATCTAGGGATAGCGTACGTGACAGTAATGGTGCAGCGGTTGCAAAATATTACATTGTTATTCAAACGGTTTTTGCTTTTAGGGCCTTGTTAGATGAGGATGAGGTTAGATTAGATGAGGTGTTGATGAAGGCAGGTATTTTTTTTAAATATTTTTTTTGACAATTTTTTGCCCTTGTTTTACTTAAGCTGAACCCGGGACCACCTGAAGTCTAAACCTTATTTTATATAACATGTCAATGCTGATGCTGTCTTGAAATGTGAAATTTAGACAATGGTTATAGGAATAATGAATAGCAATTTCACCAACAACATTTTAATCTCTAGGAAGTGCAATTAAAATTAAAATCACTGTCTGCCACACTGCTCCATCCTGGTCATGCAACCAACGTTCATGGGTGGTGTTTCACGGCAGAGCACGCACTGCAGTGCTCAGCACTGCAGTGCGCTGCGTGTGTCAGAGCATTGGGTTTCCATGGCAGTGTCAACAAACTTCACTGTGACGCTAAGCTATGACAGCATCCCAGAACGCTAGCACGCTGCGGTACCAGCACCAGCAGCATGCTAGCAGTATTTGAACTCAAACCTCTGTTCTTGGTACGGTTTTTCAGAACCTCTCACTCTGTTCCAAACGCGATTGATCATAAACTAAGAGATCACATGCAACGTCATTTGAGTGATGCTATGGTATGCCGTAGCTACCAGTGCACACAGTGTCTGGATGGTGAAACAGGGCCATTATTAATCACATTTGCTTTGCTTTGTTTCAGCAGAAACCTGTCTGCACATGGGAGGAGCTCAACAAAAGCCCATCAAGTTCATGCATGGCAGTGGATCTCAACAGGAGAAAACCAGAAAGAACATGGATGCTTGTAGATTGCAGTTGTACACTGCTGTTATCACCTGATGTGCGTGGCTGGCATTGCTCCTGGCAAGAACCACCTGCAAGTGATGAGAATGAGATGGTGCCTCAGTCGTTGAGTGTGCTGCAGTGTGAGAGGCGCCCTGATCTCTACTTTGTGATAGGTTTCCATTGGAGGTTCAACTGAGAAGTGAGAACTGACTGTGACCATGCTTGAGCATGCCAGTGGAGCTTTACATGCTTAGGGCAGCTTTTGAACAGATGCTGACCATGGCATGTCCCATCCAGTTATCACGTGCACAGAATGGTGGGGGGAGGGCAACTCTGGGCTCTTGAGTCAGCCCTACTGCACAGGGGGTACAGATGGCCGCTTACGTTTGGTGTGTCCTGCACTGCATTATCAAGCCCAGTCTGCGCCACAGGCAATGGGTCGGGCTGCACTATATTAAAGGCAGACTATCTTGCAAAGGAGGCTGGCATCCTCTCCCATAATGACACACCAATTGGCAATCATCGCTGCGATGATCACGAGGGTGTCCGCTTATCTAACATGGTGAGGTGGAGAGCCAGTTCAAGCTGGCCTGAGGGATGGTTTTACTTCATCTGAGGCCCCCTTTCCCCGCCTGCCAGGTCCGGTCAAACGACCGCTTCACAGTGAACGACTTGCAGTGGATGCCGTCCCACAGCGCAACGAGCTCGCCGACCAGAGGCGGCGGCCAAGAGGCGGCCGCGCTCCCCCAGTCGACGGTCCCGGTGGACGTCGGCGACGCCCACCGCGCGACCATCAGATCGGCTCGCGACAGCGCCGTCGCCGACTGACCGCATGACTGGTATCTGTTCTTGATGTGGGACCGACTGCCACCGCCGGTCGCGGAAGGGCATCGCTCATCGGCCATCGACGTCCGCCAGCTTCGCGTGGGTCACTGTTCGGGCTGCCACCAATACACCGAATCGGATGGAACCCTGTCGGCGAATGCCGGCGGTGCCCCGACATCGACTGCGCGGCGGCCAGTGCATCGCGTGCCGGGAGGAGGCTGGCACCCCCGATCGGTCATTGGTCACAAACCGTGTCCCAGCTCATGACTGCATCCAGCGCAGCTCTGTGAGATGTTCTGCAGCTGCTGCAGTCTGCCGCGTGTGTTAGTGAAAGAAGAATGAACATGAGAAAACCTCAAAACTTTATGCCTATTCGCAATTGACCAGTATTGGAATAAGTTTGGATTTTGAGAATTTGTGTCCCTGTGCTTGTGCCTGTGTGGAAAGGCATGCTTTACGGTGTACCATCTCAATGTCAAATCCCGGCTGCGCTGTGCGGATTTGTGCGGCTGCTGACAGGCCACCTGGGTGCCAACGTATGTGCGAATCCGCGAATACGTTGTGTTTCGTCAGTCAGTATCGTTCTGAAAATATTGACTGCAATAGGCTATATAGCGTATGACGGTTCAGCCCAGCAGTAATAACTGACCATTGATTGGGCGAATTTTGTGTGGTGGTTCGCTAATACATAACCTAAAGAGTGTTTTGCCGGAATCGTTTAGTAGCAGAACTGACCGGAATATAAGTAGAATGCAATGGTTTGAATCGTTAATTTGTTGAAACGATTGTTCTCTGAGACCACTGTGTAACTTTTGACCTGAGAATCACCAATTATAACGACAATGGGGAAGCAGTAGGCTGTACTGTAGAGTGTAGGCAACACTATATAGTTGGCACACATACGGAAGCACACGACTTACGCAGTGGACATCTGCATCATGCATGTTAAGGTTTACTGGGAAGAGTGAGAAATTAGTCAGAATATAACTGACTAAGGAAAATAGGCGATATTTCCTATTGAGCTGGGGCGGAGAGGGGGAGGGGACGTGTGGTCAGCTATGCCAATAATTCATTCTCTTTATGCAGCTGTGTAAAAGGGCGTCCGTTTTTGGGTGAGACCTTCCCCATCGGCCATTTCCAAGTTAAATCGTGGTGGAGAGTCTGGAGACCTCAGCCTCGGTAGTCGGTACCCTGCGCGCTGCGCCACCTTGCGAAACATAAAGCAGCAGTCCTGACATCTACAGGCGTGACTTTTCATGAAAGCGCGGATGTGTTCGCGCTTATGCGAAAAAAATGCTTCCGAGTATGGTTGATAATGAGATTAATTGTTGTCATTTATTTATTAATTCATTGGCAAAAGTACCCTAATAAATCGGTAAAATAGCTTGAACTGTATCGTATTTCCTTGGGAAAAAATGACGAACTCATCCTAAGACATCCAGATTATTGGATGCGTTCGTCAGTTGTAAGTAGTTCAAGTTTTTGGGAAAATTTGCTTGTGGAAAATCATAATATTTCAAAGATATGCCTATTTTTGAATAATTTATGCATTCATCTGCATTGAAAAATGATTGTAAAGCAAAAGTGCAAAAGATAATTGTCAACTTATTTTCTCAAATCACAATTTACGAACGCACAAAACTCCAGCTTTTAATTTAGTGCGTGTGCGAATTGCGGTCAAGAAAAAATATTTAAACTGTCTATATTCCTCTTAAAACAATGAAGGATGAATGAGGAAAACGCTGTTTTGAACAATTGTATATTTATTTTTTCTTAATTAAGCAAAAGTACAAAATTTTCAACTTTTATTACATTTGCTCTCACAAAATCCATCACTTTTTAGCATGACGTCATGTCAGCCAAATTTACTAGCGCCATCTCTGGAGAGCATCTTTCGAAACCTCCAGACGATAGAGAGAGCCGTAATCTATCTCCCAAACAAACTAAAAAAAATCGCACGTAAAAATCTAGGCGGTAAACCATGTGCGTGAAGTTGGCGTCGGATTCGGATTCGTATTCAGCGTCGAGTACCGAATCACTTGAAAACGTCATATCTGGTCAATTCGGGGACGGGGAGCACGAATATGACATTAATTTTGCCCTAGCAGGTATCCCTTATCCCTTAATCGTCCCTTAAATGACGGGGCGCGCCAAAAGTGCCTCAGGGGCTCTTCCGATCACGAAAATAATGGTCCCAGGCGATTCCCCGGGTCGATATCTAGCCGCACCACCACTAACTTCACACGTGCCTCATATCCCTTATCCCTTAATCGTCCCTTAAATGACGGGGCGAGCCAAAAGTGCCTCAGGGGTTCTTCCGATCGCGAAAAGAATGGTCCCAGGCGATTCCCCGGGTCGATATCTTGCCGCACCACCACTAACTTCACACGTGCCTCATATCCCTTATCCCTTAATCGTCCCTTAAATGACGGGGCGCGCCAAAAGTGCCTCAGGGGTTCTTCCGATCGCGAAAATAATGGTCCCAGGCGATTCCCCGGGTCGATATCTAGCCGCACCACCACTAACTTCACACGTGCCTCATATCCCTTATCCCTTAATCGTCCCTTAAATGACGGGGCGCGCCAAAAGTGCCTCAGGGGCTCTTCCGATCGCGAAAATAATGGTCCCAGGCGATTCCCCGGGTCGATATCTAGCCGCACCACCACTAACTTCACACGTGCCTCATATCCCTTATCCCTTAATCGTCCCTTAAATGACGGGGCGCGCCAAAAGTGCCTCAGGGGTTCTTCCGATCGCGAAAAGAATGGTCCCAGGCGATTCCCCGGGTCGATATCTAGCCGCACCACCACTAACTTCACACGTGCCTCATATCCCTTATCCCTTAATCGTCCCTTAAATGACGGGGCGCGCCAAAAGTGCCTCAGGGGCTCTTCCGATCGCGAAAATAATGGTCCCAGGCGATTCCCCGGGTCGATATCTAGCCGCACCACCACTAACTTCACACGTGCCTCATATCCCTTATCCCTTAATCGTCCCTTAAATGACGGGGCGCGCCAAAAGTGCCTCAGGGGTTCTTCCGATCGCGAAAAGAATGGTCCCAGGCGATTCCCCGGGTCGATATCTTGCCGCACCACCACTAACTTCACACGTGCCTCATATCCCTTATCCCTTAATCGTCCCTTAAATGACGGGGCGCGCCAAAAGTGCCTCAGGGGTTCTTCCGATCGCGA